AAGCAAGGAGGGAGAGAGAGAGAGAGAGAGAGAGAGAGAGAGAGAGAGAGAGAGAGAAGAAAGAAAGAAAGAAAGAAAGAAAGAAAGAAAGAAAGAAAGAAAGAAAAAGAAAATTCGCTGCAATTTTATCTTTCAGGATGTGTATACAAGCTCTAAGTTTGTACTGCCTGGGCTGGGCAAGACACTAGACAAAGGTCCTCGGTCTAGTCTGAGGTAGATTCACTCTTCTGGTAAAGACTCAGTTTTCAAAACTCAGTTCCCGGTTGGGTGTGGTGGTACCACCTGTGATCCAACACTTGGGAGGCAGAAGCAAGAGGGTCATCACAAGGTCGAGGTCAGCCTCCTCTACATGGTGAGTTCCTGGCCAGTGGGGACTTAGAATGAGCACCTGGCAAGATGGCTTGGTGGATAAAGACTCTTGCTACCAAGCTTGAGAACCTGAATTTGATTCCCTAGGCACATGGTGGAAGAGCCGGTTCCTTTGAGTTGTCCTCTGACTTCCACCCACACACAGGAATTAAAAAAAAAATTTAATTAAAAAAATTTTTAAACAAGAATCAATCCAACAACAACAATAACAACAACAAAACAGTTTTTTACTTTCTCCAACCTTCTAGGCTGCCTTCTTGTTCTAGGGTGGAGATCAGAAGTCAGTCTACCCTCCTCCTCTTGTCTGAGGTCTAACCTACTCCCTCTCCTCCTCTTGTCTGGGGTCTAACCTGTTCCCTATCCTCCTCCCCTTGTCTGGGGTCTAACCTACTCCCTCTCCTCCCCTTGTCTGGGGTCAAACCTGCTCCCGACCCTCCTCCTTGTATCTAGGGTCTAACCTACTCCCTGCCCTCCTCCTCTTGTCTGGGGTCTAACCTACTCTCTATCCTCCTCCCTGTATCTGGGGTCTAACCTACTCCCTACCCTCCTCTTCTTGTCTGGGGTCTAACCTGTTCCCTAGCTTCTTGGGCTGAAAGTGCTTCCTTTCTTAGTCTGGGACTTAAATCACCCCATGTTGATCTTGGCAGATAACTCTCTTTTGCCTCCTGCCTATGGTGTGGGAGAATTATCTGTATTCTGTCAATCATATTTTAATAAAACGCTGATTGGCCAGGCAGGCAGTGTTTAAATGAATACAACTTGTGTGTTGTTATTTTCAGGGCTAAGCTAGCCATGTGGGAGCCGGATGGGATGAAAAGCAGGCCTGCCCGCAGCTCCGCACTATATGCCTGAAGCCACACTCTCCTCTTCTAGTCTCTGGACTTGACCGGCTCTTGATAACTCTGCTCAAAGCAACACATTCACTATAGAAGTCAAGGCCAAGTTCACGCATACTTAAAGTCCACCTCTTAGATACTGTCTGGGGCCAGTCCCTTTTGTTTAGTGGTCTAGCATCTTTGCTAGTTGCTGTCAATTAAGTTCATGGACATTGTAGCCCAGGATTCATCATCACCATCCTTGTGCGAGGGATCAGCTCAGCAGGTCTGGGCTATCCAAACCCACTTATTCCAAAGAAAGGTTTTGTCCTCATGGTTTCTTGGAGAGAACTCCCAAGTCTTCAACATACCCCACTTGATATTTCTGGAACAACGTCAGCTATGAGAGTCATTGCTTGCCTGTGTCGCTGACTTCCAATGAAAACTGGACTTGGACTGATAAAACGGCTCGGAGGTAAAGGAAGGCCGCTATGAGCATGCACACACATACATAAACGTGGAAAAAAATCTGCACGGGGAAGTGAGGCAAGAGACTCTGATAGCCAGCGAGGTCTGAAAGACCTAGTGTGAAGGATGCAAAATCAGCATATGAGAGAAACACATTAGCCAAGAGGAAGGCTGGACTCACACAGACCCAGGCTGCAGAAAATCTACCCACTTGTGCAGCTACAGAGGCACTCCTGACGTCCCAAGGCGCATTATACTACTGAAACTCAGCACTCTGGGTGGAGATTTAATATGTTGGTGAGACGTTTAATACATAGGTAAGTTGTATGTAGAATTACACACAATAATGCATATATTATATGCCTATAGTATATTAGTATATCCTTGATATATTCCTGTCACAATGCATTATGATAAAATGTATCTCTTAAGTTCTAAGAGGCTGGGGTGATTGCAGGAGCTCACACCCAGAGTTAATAATACTTCTTGAAGTTACCTGGTTTAAGACCTTATTGTGAACTCAGCCAATTTGTTTCCCCCGCTTTTCAGGGAACAACGTAACAGTTAACCTTGCCTTGAATTTTCCCATGCAGTCAACTTTTAGACTCTAAGCTAACGCACGGCTGTAATCTTAAATTACGTACTCTTCCATGCTCCTGACTCAGAACAATGCCTGCGTGTTCTGTGCTGAAAGCAGCAGGTACAGAAGTCGAAAACGACTTCCTAAAGGGCCTAGCCACCATAAACATTGAACACAATGCTCACGGACACTGGTTGATAAATAACAATGTTTGTTATGTGGTCAGTTGGGGTCATCTGGAGTCAATGACTGAATGCCTTGTGAAAACTCAGTTAGAGGTGTCTGTGAAAGATCTTTCATTCCTTCCCCCAAATGATGCTTTCTGGGCTGTTCAATAAAAGAGAGAGCAAAGTCCTTTGTTAGAGGCGGACATACAAGCACACAGGACACACAGACATACAGGCCTTTACCTGCTAAGCCATCGCACCAGCCCCTCACGTGACTTTCCCCAGTGAATGGCTTTATTTCACACAAGATGCTGATGCTGACGTAAGCTGTGGGGGAGATCAGCGAGCACAGGAAGACAGGTGAACTTTCTGAGTTAGGACAGCTCCCCCACCTGGACAGCACACTTCCAGGTCATTTTCAATAAGATCAAGGCCAGCAAGAACTAACGAGAACCTCTGCACTCGGCGGCCTCCGGTGTGGACCACATCAGCGGTTCTTTAGATGTATATCTCAGGGTAGAGCACTTTATGTAGCCCAGGCTTGCCTCTAACTCTTATGGCTGAGGATGACCTTGACCTTCTGATTCTCCTACCAGCAGGACAGTTTTTAGATTTTAAAAAAAAAATCCATTCTATGACAGTATTAGAGGGTTGGATGCCAGTCAGCTGGAGAGAGCACACCGAACACGCGTGAAGACCTGCACCTCATTGCCAGCACTGCAGAAACAAACACACCGCACCATCACCACCAAGGCCACCAAGACAGTGCCAGGGAGCAGGATTCCGTAGAAGAGTTCAGAAGCCATGTTCTGTCACCAGGCACTGCAGGGAACAAATCCAGTTCTCGCATCCTGGATTTAAAGCAGAACCAGTTTTACAAGCTACATGCCCAACCTCTTCCAAGAAGGCATAAGGGGTGGGAGAAGAATGTGGTGAAGAATGAGTCTGTGCATACATGAGTCTGTGTGCATGTATGAGTCTGTGCATACATAAGTCTGTGCCTACATGAGTCTGTGTGCATACATGAATCCGTGCATACATGAGTCTGTGTCTACATGAGTCTGTGTGCATACATGAGTCTGTTGTGTATACATGAGTCTGTGTGCATGTATGAGTCTGTGCATACATGAGTCTGTGCATACATGAGTCTGTGTGCATACATGAGTCTGTGTGCATACATGAGTCTGTGTGCATCCATGAGTCTATGTGCATCCATGAGTCCACGCATGCCTCAGGTGAGTAGCTTCAGTACGGGGGAGACTCTACCCTGAAAAGTCTGTACAGAGTCATGCAATCTGTTTTGTTTTCCTGCCCTGAAGGATCCATATGACTGAGACTAAGGCCCTGTCGATTTTCTGTGGCTAAGATTGTAGCCGAACACACGGGAGGCTGCATGTTTCTACTTGTTGCAGTGTATGCGCCCCAGGAAATGGAATGCAGTCCTGCAGGACTGGTGCAGAGGAATCTGAGCTGGGGACAGTCTGAGGACCCAGCACCCTTCACCTTGAGCGACTGGTATAAGTAGATGGGGCGTTGCGAAGGACATTATGTTCTCACCCGCCTCTCCTCTGCCATCTGGGAGGAAGGGGCTCCCTTTAGAGAACTAAGCAGGCGACCCATTTACTGTTACTGAGAGAGAGAAAGTATTGAAGAAGAAGGGGATTCAGTGCCTGGAGAGCCCCCCACCCCGGGTTTGCAGGGGAAGAGTGAGGCTTCAGAATTGAGGCCAGTCTCTTCCACGGCAGCACGGCTCCTCCATCTCTGGCCAGCCCTGGCTGTTTGGAATGGAGAACTAATCTAAGGAAAAGACTTGCCCGGTTTGTGGTGCTTGGGCGGCTCCTCCATGAGTCAGCAAGGCCAAGGCTGCTCTTCAAAACGTGGCCTGAACTAAAGCCCTGTTTGCAAACTTGTCTCTAGGCTGGGCGGTTTGATTTTAGCTTCCCGGAACGGAAACAACTTGTTCACTGACCTTTCTTGTGTTTCTGCTGTGCCACCTCAGAGAACTCTTCTTCTCTTCCTGTCTTTTTTTTTTTTTTTCTCCTTTTCCCTGACGCTGGGGATTGAGTTTAGGTCGTTGTGAGTCTGGGCAAGCCCACCCCTCACCCGGAACCCTCACACAGGTCACAGCTTTGTAGCTGTTTTTTTCCCCTATTGATAATAACATCCCCCATTTTTTTCCCCCCCGAGAGAGGATTTCCCTATGTAGCCCTGCCTGTCCTAGAACTGGCTCTGTAGACCAGGCTGTTCTGGAACCCATAGAGATTCACCTGGCTCTGCCTCCCAAGTGCTGGGATTAAAGGCTGAGCCACCTCTGCCCTGTGGTTCCCAAGTTTTTTATTTTCTCCTTCCTTTCTTCCTTCCTTCCTTCCTTCCTTCCTTCCTTCCCTCCCTCCCTCCCTCCCTTCCTTCTTGTTTCTCTGTAACTTTGGAGCCGGTCCTGAAACTCGCTCTGTAGACCAGGCTATCCTCAAACTCACAGAGATCTACTGCCTCTGCCTCCCAAGTGTTGATAATAAAGGCATGTGCCATTATCCCAGGCTTGTTTCTGAATCTATCTTATCTCCAAATCCCTCAAGCTAGCAATTTCCCCCTCTAATTTCTAAGGGTATGAAATCCTCTCTGTCTGTCTGAAAATTTTAACAACTTTTTTTCTTTCTTTTTTCTTTTTTTTTAAAAAATCTTTAGTTAAAGCTGGCAAGATGGTTTTGCAGGTCAGTCCCTGGAACCTACAGAAAGATTCACCTCCTGAGAGTTGTCCTCCAACTGCCACACAATCGCCATGGCAGGAGAGTGTGTGTGCTTGTGTGTGTGTGTGTGTGTGCACGCGCACACACACATACACACACACACTCACGGGGGGGGGAGAACGTTAATTAAAAAACTCATTTTAAAACTTTTAAAGATTTTTGTTTAAAATCTTGTTTCTAAGAAGTACTAATTTGAAACTTTATGTCTCTTTCGTTTTATCTATTTAAGGGAATTTTTTTTTTCTTGTGGAATTGTAAATGATCATACAAAACACAGTTTTCTTTCTCCCACCCCCAAAGAGATATAATGCCTCCCGTTGCGCTAGACCACTCAGAACTGCTCAGAACAGCTGTTTTTCACCAGAGGTTAATTCCAAGAGAGGCCCCAAACCCAAATGCTCAAACAAGTAAAGTTCTGTGTAGGGCTGGGGCGAAAGCTTATTGGATGAAGGTCCGCTCAGCCAAGGCCTGCGACCCAAGTTCAATCTCTGGTACCCACGTGGTGACAGAGACGGACTTCCAGCACATTTTCCTCTGACTCCTGCCCTGCACACATAAAATAAGCAAGTGGCAAAGCAAAACACAGCAAGAGCCTTGAAAAAACGAAACTATGTATGCAAAAAAGCTTACTAGATGGGATTTTTGTTGTGTTTTGGTAACAAAATGTCTAGTTTACCCATGAAAATGTGGCTTTTTATTTTTAAGTTACTGTTTGTTCTGGCCTCAGCAGGTCTGCTTGGTTTAATGTGGAGGTGTTATTTCAGCCTCCTAGGAGAGGCATGTTTAGAAGATCATTAATGGCTACGGGTATTTAGGGGAGAACTTAACTCTAGCGCTTATGGAGCAACTTGTATTTACACGGTATTTTTATGTGTATTATTTCTTCAATCCCAAGGGGAAAGTACTGAGTGTTTTAGTCATCGTTTCTGTTTTAGAAAAAGATCCAGGTAAGCTGCTATTTCTCTAATGGCGAGGAAGAAGTAACCAAACGAGGAGGGCCTGCACTTTCCAAGGTTTGTGTTCTAGTACACCCATCTTCTCACTTTCTTAGTCATCAGAACAAGCTGTATTTGTTTTATTTCAGGATTCAAAGGCTAAAATAAGAAACACGCTAGTATTTATGTTCTATGTGCAAGAGTGCAGGTGCCCACAGAAACCAGGAGAAAGTGTCGTGTCTCTTGGACCCGGCATTACAGGCGGTCGTGAGCCGCCTGACGTGGCGTCTTGGAAATGCAAGCGCTCCTAACCTCCGAGCCACCTCAGCCTTTATTTTTCTCTTCTTTCCTTTTTCCTTTTTTTGATACAGGGCCTTGCTATGTAGCTCTGGCTAGCCTGGAACTCACTCGGTACATTAGGCTGGGCTTGAACTTGACACAATCCTCCCGTCCATGCCTTCTGAGTGAAAACAAAAATTATTTATTTGAGCGCTGGTTATAACATTGTGTGTTATACATCCCCTTGACATTTTTTTTTCTTCTCTCTGTACTGGGGACTAAGCCCAAGGCTTTGCATATGCTAGGCAAAGATGCTATTATTGAACTACACTCCTAGTTGTAGATCAACATACATAGTTCAACTAAAATAAACTGTGGTCGACAGCGCAGCACGGTGGCACAGGTCTGTAATTCCAGCACTTGGAAGGTAGGGGCGGGGTGTACCAGTTATATTCAGGTAGGGACTGAGGAATGCTGGGAGAACCTGGCAGTCAGATCTGCTTTAATATGTTAAAAAGGTACGAAGCCATTTGTCCAGACTTTGATATTTAACAGATGTGTGTTACTTTTGCTTTCATTAATTTATTTATTTTGACAGTGTCTCACTATGTAGTTCTGACTATCCTGGAACTCACTGCGTAGACCAGGCTGGCCTGGAACTCACTGCAGAGACCCTGCCTCTCCCTCCCAAGAGCTGGGATTAAATGTGAGTGCCACCAAGCATAGTGTGTGTTACTTTTGAAACAATACAATGTATAACTCTATTAAAATAAGGGCTACAATATCAAATACAGGTTCTACCATGAGGGGATGCTTCGGAACCATTTATGGATATTTTAGAAAATTTGAGATTACTCTTACATGGGCAACAACTGGCATCCACGAGGACATTTTGACAAGGTCTCAACAAGGAATCCTCAGACCTGGCAGAAAGTTGTTCCTCAGAGCCTAGCTACCTTGTCCTGAATAGTGAGTAAGCTAAATGATTGAGTTCTCCCCACTCTATGTGACAGCTTTGCCAAACAACCAGGGAACGTGGTGGTGCCGTTTTTCTTCTCAGCAGCTGAAGCAGGCGAGTTGCCAGCAGGGGTCTAGATCTGTGGAGATGCAGGAACCCATTTCAAGGAGCCAGGCGGTCAGAAGGCTGGAGAACAGGACCCTCAGCAAGCAGGGCAGTTTCTGAAGAGTTCCTTATTACGTGTCTTTAGTTTCCTTTCTCTGCTTTCGTTCTAGAAAAAGGAGCCTGATTCTTGTAAAATGGGACCGAGAATACTGTTTTGAAGGTCGCATGTGCCCAAGCTTGGGGTAAGAGACAAGGCGAGCTTGCAGTGCCCACGTGAGGAGCAAGATCAGAACTGTACTACACGGGCGGCGCCCTGAGACCCCAGGGTCAGATCCCTGCCTCTGCCCACAGAGGAGACACTGGGGATCGGAGGCAGACGACAAGCCTCGTCGCTGCGTTCAGGAGAGTGGGATGAATGACTGAACCCCTGCTGGTGACTCTCCTGCCTCAGTTGCTGAGAAGAAAAACGCGCCCCCACGTTCGATTGCGTGACTTACTTACTGAACATTTTATAGCTCGATCAACTAGACACAGGCGAGGTCACGATTTACGCAAGAAGACAAACGCTCAGGAAGCAGAGCTGAGCTTGTGGGGACGGAACGCCAGCCTACCATGTCTGTGAACCGATCCGCACAGGCCATGCGCACCCGCTCTGGCGTTGCTGGGCTCTGCGCTGTGAAGTCCTCGGCGAGGTCTCGTTCTCTTCGCGCTGCAGCCACCGCATCGGCAATGGCGAAGAACACAGATGACCCCAGGAACATCCCAGACTCCCCCAGGCCCTGCACGGAAACACATTTGTCTGCGTTCAGGAGAGTAGGATGTATGACTGAACCCCTGCTAGCCATCAAAAGTCAGAGTACAGCCATCAAAAATCCCCCTTTGTCTGCCCTAATTAACGTGGCTAACGTGGGTTTCCCATTTTCCCTTTATAAACTGCCATTTGCCTATGAGCCACATCTGTCTCCTTTCTATCTAGAGACAGTCCTTCCTTCATCCTCTGGGCAAATATCCTACCCTCTTGTTTGTGGTCAGATTTTTTTCTTTGGGCCTCCAGCTCACAAGTAATGAAACGGAGACTTGTTATCATTAATTATGGAAGCTTGATCTTAGCTTAGGCTTGTCCTCAACCAGCTCTTATAACTTAAATGAACACAATTATTTTTTTCTCTATGTTCTGCCGTGTGCCACCAATCCCGTTTCCTCCATGTCCCCTGTGTCTTCTTGCAAACCTTGAGCTTCTCCTCCTACTTCCTCTCTCTTCCCGGAAGTCCCATCTATACCTCCTGCCTAGTTATTGGCTATTCTACCTTTGTATTCTACCAATCAACATAGCTTTTTTTTTCCTTTCGAGACAGGGTTTCTCTGTGGCTTTGGAGCCTGTCCTGGAACTACCTCTTGTAGACCAGGCTGGTCTCGAACTCACAGAGATCCGCCTGCCTCTGCCTCCCGAGTGCGGGGATTAAAGGCATGCGCCACCACCGCCGGGCTCATAGCTTTTTTTTTTTTTTAAATTAAATCGAGCAACACCGGGAACAAATATCCCACAACACTTGCTTCTTCCCTTTCTCCCTCATCCTCTGTCTCCTGTCTCTTATTCCCTGCCTTCTGTCCCTCTGGGGCAAATGAATCAATCCCCTCTGTGTTGAGAACTTGGTCTCTGTGTGTCCTGTGCCAACTCCTGTCCTTTCACAGAGAGTATTCTCAGTTACCATTCTTGGCGATGCTCTCAACCTCCTTTGAGGTTGAACCTCTCACTGGTCTGGAACTCACCAATTAGGCTGGACCAACTGACCAGAGAGCCCAGAAGTTGTCTGGTCTCTGTCTTCCTAACGCTGGGGTTATAAGAGTGTACCACCACACTCGTAATTTTTAGGTGAGTTCTGGGGATAGAATCCATGTTCTTGTGTTATCAAGGCAAGAGTTTTACTGATGGAGCTGGAACCCTTCCTCCAGATCACAATATTATATTCTCATTCTGAGATGAGAGTTGGGTATGGTGGCCCACACTGGTCATCTCTTGGGAGGCGGAGTTTGGAGGAACAAGAGTTCACGGTTATCCTTGCCTAGGCAGTGAGTTTGAGGTCATTCTGGTCTCCTAAGATGCATCTCAAAAAACCAAGAAAGAAATAGACATCTGGGTAGTAGTAGCACACGCCTTTAATCCCAGCACTTGGGAGGCAGAGGCAGGCGGATCTCTGTGAGTTTGAGGCCAGCCTGGTCTAAGGTGTGAGCTCCAAGACAACCAGGACTACACAGAGAAACCTTGTCTCATAAAACCAAAAAGATCCAAAAAACCCAAAACAACAACAAAAAAAAGAAAGAAAAGAAAGGAAGGAAGAAAAGAAAATAACTAGACAAAGTTTTTAAATAAAAAATATTATTCTCCCAAAAAGTACAAGCTCATATATATATATATATATATATACACACACATATATGTATATTTATATATGTAAATATGTATATTTATATATGTGTGTATGCAATTTATATTTTAAGGAGAGATGGTATTAATGAAACCTGGGCCCATGATTGCTCCAGGACGCTCATTTCTCTTTCTTAGATCTCAGTTTTTCCTAGGTGACTGGTCTCCAAGGGTTCCAGTCCAGATAACCACATGCCTCCAGTTTTTGTTTTGTCTGGCGGCCTCTGCTGGCCACGCTCCCTGGGCTGCTGCGGCACGGAGGGTTAAGTGTATACGCTTACCTTAGAGGAGTAGATGGTTAGCGGGGTCTCAGAGTTTGGCAACAAGGACACGTTGAACTGCTGAGGGACATCAGTGACGCTAGGAATTTTGTACTCCTCCGGGCTCCGAGAGTACAAGACCCCTTCTGGGGAATAGTGCAGCTCCTCCGTGGTGTAAAGGCCCATTCCCTGAATAAATGCACCTTCTATCTAAAGGGGAGAATGACGAATTTAAGTCTTCTGGCAATGTATCCTTGTGAAAAGTACCTTATTTCCCCTTTAATCACTCTCAGGAAGGGGCTTCCTCCCAGGTGGGCCAGCACCTACTTGCCCAACATCAATGGCTGGATTCAGGCTGCAACAGGCGTCCATGACAATGTCTGTTCTGATTTTCTGTGCCAAACAGAAATTACCTCTTTATAAAAACTCGAATTAAAATTAAACTATTTTAAGGGGTGAAGGATATGGTGTGTTTGTTTAGTACACACAAGGCCTGAGGCTTGGTCCCTAGTATCACACATGTGCACACACACACACACACACACACACACACACACACACAAATACTGTCTTTAGGTTAGCTCAGAACATAAAGGCAATTGCTGCTCCAGTTGGTGACCTTGAGTTCAAACCCTGGATCCATATGGTGGAAGGAGGGACCTGAATATATTTTGTTTGTTTTCTTTATAATTTATTATGTGTGCAGTGTTCTGCCTGCATGTATACCTGCATTCCAGAAGAGGGCATCAGATCTCATTACAGATGGTTGTGAGCCACCATGCGGGTGCTGGGAATTGAACTCAGGACCTCTGGAAGAGAAGTCAGTGCTCTTAACCTCTGAGCCATCTCTCCAGCCTCGAGAGACCTGAATTCTGAAAGTTATCCTCTAACCTCCACGTGTGTATTATGGCAAACATGTGACCTCCCTTTCAATAAATTAAAAAGAAAAAAAGGAAATTTCAATGAGCTTCTTGCTAGTCCAGAACTGCTACCCTGAGCCTTACTGGCGTTAGAAGTAGGAAGACGGCTGACAAACTTCACATGTGGTTGCCAGGCCTGGCAATGGCCTGGAAGGTCTGCATGTATTGTTTTGGCTCCTGCTAAGCGACTCCAAAGTCCAGGGCATGTTGGTGTGTGCGAGTGAATCACTCGGTAAATCATTGAGTCTGCTTGGCCACCTTGCTCTACCTGGCTTCATTGCTCTAGTGGGATTTGTGAGCATATCTAGTCCTTGAAAAAATCAGATGTGGGCAGCATTGTGGCCATTTTACTGAGAAAATCATCTAGTACATGGTGTGTCTAAGTTTAGGGGCAAGATTTTAAAAGGGGCCAAGGTACTGACTGAGGTCAGTTCTGACTCTCAGTCTTTGTGGGTCTGCTTCCTTCTCTGAGAGACAGTGAAGCTACCTGACCTGACTGTTTCGTCACTGTGTGTGTGTGTGTGTGTGTGTGTGTGTGTGTTTGTGTGCGCGTGCATGCACACAAACAATTGTTGGGGGCCTCAGAAAGCTCCTAAGTGTCTTTGGGCTATCTCAGGAATACTGCTGGGCTTTCCTTTGCTTATCATTCAAAAGTATTTATTCTGATAACATTGTTCTGTGTTTAGGTTTAATATCTGGCTTCTCCTTTCTAGTCTCTGGATTGGAAGTCCCTCCCTCCTTCTTTCTCTCTCTCCTTCCAGTCTTCCCATTCTTTCTCACTTCCTTTGAACAGGGTCTCATGTAATGCAGGCTGGCCCGGAGCCTAGCTGCAAATGGCCTCTTCCGATCCTTCTGCCTGGTCCCTTTCCAGGGCCACGATTACAGTCACAGGCCGACACACCTAGTTTTATGCGGTAAAGGGATTAGCACGCAGTCCAGGGCTTCACTCATGCTAGCTGACTGTCCTCTCAACCGGACTTCTCTTGGTTGTTTTTGAAACCGAGTCTTGCTGTGTAGCCCAGGCTGGTCTTGAACTTGTGTTCTTCTGGCCTCAGTTGTGCAATGCTGGGATCACAGGTGTCTCCCACCATCTCCTAGTTGGCAATTGTCTCCGGGCTCGAACCCTGGTCTCTCAGGCCCAGCCTTCTTTCTCAGCCCGGGCAGGAAAGGAGGTTGGAGACGCCTCAGTCCTCCCCACGGTGCATTTACCCTGACACTTGCAGTAGTTTCTGCTGTGGGTACGGGACAAGGGAAGGAGACGGCCACTCAGCATTTGGAAACCTTTGTTTACCAGCAACGTACATCCCCAGAGGACAGTACCTCACAGAACTGGCCACAGTGGGCCGGCGATTTAGTGTCTCTGGGTTTCTTGTTGGTTAATGGAAGAAGTTTTGTCTCATCAAAGAACAGACTGTTCTTAAGAGTTTAACATCACACTGAAATTTCTGGACCTTTAGTTATACATACAAACTGGAAGGCACAGAAAAGGCCAAATTTTAACTTTCTGACTCCATAAATTCTAGAAGAGTCCTGTGTTCCTTTCTTTAGGGATTCTTTAGGTCGAGCTGACACATTTAAGATGTCCCAAGGGCTGCATGGGACATATTTCTGCTGGAAGTGTATTTGGTGTTTCCTTAAAATTCAAGTTTAATTAGCTAACGTGTATTTTTTATTTGCTAAATCTGGCAACACACCTGCTGGTGTGGAAGGTCTTGTCACCCGAACCAACTTTCTACTTAGGCAGAGTCTCAGGAAGGCAGGGACACTGGCATCTGAGTATTTGAGGGGAGCCTGAGGCAGGTCCCAGGTTCACCTCTAGTACTGAAGCACAAATACCATTATCTGTGTGTGCCTTTGTGCGAAAACCACCGGGAAACAACCTAAACTAATTGCAGACTGTCTGTGACCACATGAGTGTTTCTCTTTAAAATGATCTCAAATAAAAATGGGCAGAGGTGGCACACACCCTGAATCCCAGCACTCTGGAAGCAGAGGTAGATGGATCTCTATGCGTTAGAGGTCAGCCTGGTATACAAATCTAGTTCCAGGACAGCTAAATCTGGACCCTGTCTCGGAAAAAAACAAAACAAAAAACAAACAGACAAACAAACAAACAAAAAAAACCAATGGAACCACAGAGACCAGCAAACTGGCTCAGCAGTTGAAGGTGCTTGCTGCCATTGCTGGCAATGGGAGTTTGATCCCTAGGACCTTTATGGAAGACTGTGCTGATTCCCACGAACTGTCTTCTGACTTCCGCAAGTGCCAGCGCCCTCCTCAGGAAAAGAAATAATAGAGGCAAACACAGGTTGATGTAATGTAATGTACCAGAAAGAGAAACTTAGGAGGGCACTTCTTTCCAGACGGCCTTCATTCCCCGCCTCTTTCAAACAGTCTTATTCATGGGCCGGGGGTCATGGTTCTGAGTGTGGTCTCTAGCCCTGCATAAGCTGGACATGCCTACACATGCTTAGTAGCCCAGCATTTCAGAGATGGGAGAAGTAAGATCGGAAATTCGAGTTCAAGGCCAGCCTGGGCTACCTGAGACCCTGTCTCCAAAACCATTTTTTCCCCTTAGTAACGTGGAAGAGAAGTTAACTAACACTAAATACATAGAAGTATTTTGATATGGTATGGCCATTATAATTTTCCTAACGCAACAACTTCCTATACTTGGGTTCTATTTTATTCTATTCGATACTACTGCCGTCTTTATTTCCAGAGTGGTATCTGAAGTATAAGTCACAGGGTTTGTCATTTGTGGTAGAATGAATTTGTTTAGACATGCTTTCTGCCTTCAGGAGGTGGCTCTTCTTGATGATCAACAACCGGCCCAATCTCCTTTTCACACGCCCGCCCGCCCGTCTGTTCCTTGGGACGTTGCACTGCCCTGGAGGGGGGTGAGATTGATGGCTACGTCAAGGCTTGTCCTTCCTTGAGGAGTCAAACCTGCTTTGGAGGAAGACTTTGGGAAACAGCTCTGTCGTCTGGAATGAAATGATACCTAACGCTCTAATCACATCCAGCCAGTCGTAGACACTCCTTTCTGACCGCCATGCTGTTAGCTTCCGCGACAGTTCCCAGAGGCGACTGGACCTCTTGCAATCTCCATGGCGTTGAAAGAATTCCCTGACCCCCCCTGTCGATTAGGCAAGGACCCTGGGCCGGCCACTTTCTGCGCCGGGCAATTCTGCGGTTGCTCCCGCTCGCTCGCTCGCTTGCCGGGGCAGGGTTAGCCCGACTGACCTTGTGAGCTCCTGTCAGGCAGTCGATCTCAACCTCGGAACAGGCAGCTCCGTAGACGTAGTACGGAAACGGGTCCCCCTCCTGCTTCTCCCAGTCCATGAAGGCCTTGTAGCCCCTGAGAGAATAAAGTCTTTTAGAATGGGGGAGGGCAGAAACCACAAACAATAGCCATAGCTTAAAAAAAAAAAACACCAAAAACCCATAGTTTACAATAACATTTGAGCTGGCTGATACTCATTTCAGCTAGCTTTTTTTTTTTTTTAAAAAAAAGATTTTTATTTATTTACTTTTTAAAATGTATACAGTGCCAGAAGAGGGCACCAGATCTCATTATAGATGGTTGTGAGTCACCCTGTGGTTGCTAGGAATTAAACTCAGGACCACAGGAAGAGTAGCTGGTGTCCTTAACCTCTGAGCCATCTCTCCAGCTCCCTCAACTAGTCTTTGTTTTGTTTTAGATCATTCAAGCTGCTGTCTTGTATTCACCATGGTTGCTACCTTCCTCTGTCTTAAAGAGGATGTGCCCTGAGCTGTGGGAAGGATGTCAAAGACGAAGACGACAGTGATGTTTGCTCCCACGTTGACAGTTATTTGACACTGGGAAACCCCATTAATTTGGGGCTGTGTCCCCAGAAAGTGCCCATCGAATGTGCTAACCCAAGCCACAGGGGACTTGGTGACAAGATAGCAAGGCAGATAAAGAAGACCCGGTGATCCTATTCATTCATTTACACACGAAGATGCAGCCGACGGCTTCAGGTCTTGTTTTTATCCTCGTATCAATTTTTGCAGAGCTTCAGTTTGAACCCAGAGCCTCTCTCACTGGGCCATGCTCCCACCCTGACGATGTGCTCACATGGAGGACTGAACGGGCTTTTCTGGGGCTACACTGGACTGGTCATGGCATCTCCTCTCCCTTTCCCCACAAGCGTTTCCTTTTTGTGCAGGCGTGTGTAGACTAAATTGGAACCATTGTGCCGTGTATCCGTCTTGAATTTGATAGTCAGCTCTTCTCTTTGCTTCATGTATTAAATTAACATGGGTTTATTGAGACTCCCCAATGATCAACAGTGCCTATTTGAGGACAAAAGATTTCTCACCCCACCTCCAAAGCCTGCCCCCAGGGAGGAAGGTTTTATGACTAAGGAGGGAGACTGGTAAGGCTGAGTGAGAAGTTAGTTCTGGGGATGATGTCACTATTCACAACAAAGAACAGTAAGGACTGAGGGTGTAGGTCAGCGCTAGAACGCTTGCCTTGCATGTACAAGGTCCTAGGTTCAATCCCCAGCACCAGAACAAATAGTAAATAATTGTAAATAATCTTAGATGAATCAGAGTGTTTTCAATCCTATGTGGGTTATTAATTATCCAATATCTCTTTAATGACACCACACAGAGGCCTATGTGAATTCACAGAATTTTGGGACCAGAAATAAATTCCTATAATTATATAATACACTCTTTCTTATGAATAAGGACTGAGGCCCAAAGTAATCCGATTACCTTAGAGTCTTGTAGCTAAGCCAAGATGTTGTTTGAGTTTTACCTGAAGTATCCAGTTGCCGAAAGACTGATTCTCTGTTCAAAGGCTGCTTCTATCTGTGGAACGGGCATATTTAAGAGAGATTGAGTAGATTCACTATTTGTTAGGGGAAAACGAGCATGTTTCATGTGTAAAGCTTGACGCGTGCTCCCTGATGCGGTT